ATGTGTGTCTGTCTGTGTGTGTGTTATTGTGAGTGTCCTATATGCCTATTGAAAATTGAAATCACAAGCCAAGTACAGCGTGCACTCTCAAACCGTCTGCCACAAGCGCATTGTCTCATTCACCTCGTTGCACATACACATACACGTACACACACTCACACATACACAGACTCATATAAACACACATACAAACACTCATACAAACACACACACACACTCACACACACGTGCACGCGCACACACACACACACACTTGCCATACAGAGAGGTGTGTTCTAAAACTATGAGAAAAATACTTCCTGTTCATGTCATGTAGTTCAACTTTCTTTCTTTCTATTTCTCCGTTGTATGAGTCATTTATCTACGTGTATTGTAAGTCAAATAAGAAGTTTTATAGTTCAATATTTCATTCTTAATGTTCCAAAACTATTTCCCCGTTTGCTCCTACTTTCCTTTCAAACATCTATCATTCTTATAATTATATCTCTCCTCCTTCTTTTCTTTGTACGTTACTCACAAGAGCCACATTTCTCATAATCTTCGGCACTTATTTTATGACCCATTTGTGTTACAAGTGCCGTAAAACTCTTACTAAAACTCCGAACTTTCCCAGTGACTACAGTTACACATAATTACATAGACCTAGATCTAGATCTAGATATTCCATCTCTCTGCCTTCCCCCGGGTTCCGACAGCTTTTGTGTGGGCCACGCAAAATTTACTGAAAAGTTTCTAACCGTTGGATTTTTCGCCCTGCTTCGTTTTGAGTTTTCTATTTCTCTGGGTTTTTTGTTTTTTCTTCTGATCCACTTCAGTTTTAGTGGTATGCTTTCAAATATACGTGTGCTTCCCTAATCTTGAAAGAAAAAAAAAGAAAGAAAAAGATTTTTTAAAACAAAAAACCCCATTGCATCCGCACCGAAACGCATCATTCCCGCACCATGCTTGAACGCAGACTAAAGCTATAGGTGTGAAATGTGAAGGAAATTCCACGCGATTTTTGCCGATTTACGAAATTTCCCAGAATAAACTAAGCAGGCGGAAAGGTTTATTATTGCTCGTAATTTTCTAACGAACCGGGCTTATCTGTGAAGACAAAATTAGAGACAGATTTCTCTGGAATGGCTAAAAGAAAGTTCTGATATCCGTGATGGAAAAACGAATCATTGTTGAACAAGGGAACAAATGTTTACTTTAATTTATTACTTTTTGCGGGAGGGGATGAAGTTGTTTTTGGATATCATCAATAAGCTATTTCATTTTGAAAATACCAATAATTATAGCAACAGTTACTGTTGTGAAGATACATGTACAAACATTTACTACAACGATTGGTAAGAAAATAACTACATGTACTAACTGCGACATTTGTAAAGAAAATAACTACACATACTAACTGCGACATTTGTAAAGAATACCAACACTACTGCAATTGTAGAACAATTGTTACTATTTAATTGTGACGTTACCAACTACTACAATAATTTTGCAGAGGTACCAACAAACGTCTTATATTCCAACAGTATTTACAGCAATTGCAAAGTCTGTACCAACAGTTACTGCGACAACAATGATCAAGTTTCCCCTTTACACTACAAACAACAATTATTGTGAAGTTACGGACAACTACTAACAACACTGTTAAATGTACCAAGAAATACTACAACAATTGTAAAGATAAGAACAATTATTACAGCAATAATATTTGTAAAGATACCAACGTTTATTACAATTGCGTAGATCTAGTAACCGTCCGCTGCCTGAACGGACTGGACTCTCTTTGTTCATGTCTCAAAAAGCGAAGTGAGGCCGTGTTGTTGTCGATGATGTGTCGGCGATGAAAGTATATTATACATGTATTATGTTTATATCATCAGCCCTTCTTTCCTACAAAAAAAAAATCGTATTCTTCTCCCTTCCTTTTTTTGTGTTTGTTACTTGTTACTCTCTTGTAACACCTCTAATCTTCGGCACTTATGACCTTATTGTGTTGCAAGTGCCGTAAAAATTGTACTAAAACTAAAGCCCTTCCCGCTGTTTACGGATGATAAGATAAGATAAGATAAAGTCATCTTTATTTATGTTATATATCCAGTTTTTCTGGTACGAGGGGATTTTTGGGTCGATACAAGAACATTATAACACGTAATACAAAGATTCAGCATCGACTTGGAGAAATGAATACAGTAGATGACAGTCACCAACAATGATACATAAATACATATTTAGAGTGTGTGAGTGACAGAATGCACACACCGTCGTGTCGTGTAGTCGGGTGTGTCGTGTGTAGCCGTGTGGTCAAGTAGTGTGTGGTGTGTCAAGTGTGTAGAGAGAGTGTCCACGAACACACATCTTTTAGTCTTATGGTTGAGATCAAATGTGTAGTGTGCCAGTGTCAGCGAACACAAACACACACACATACACACACACACACATTCACTCACACACACACACACACACACACACACACACACACACACACACACACACCGCCGTGTGGTCAAGTGTGTCACCACTGGATCCAGGCCTGGTCTATATGCGTGGACATTAGGCAGCGACATGACGGACTACTTCACGGGTCACACGCAACTACACAATGGTAATAGTTCAATAATGATAATAATAATAATAATAATAATAATAATAATAATAATAATAATAATAATGATTATAATAATGATGATGATAATGATAATAGTATGATAATATTGTTATGATAATGATAATAATAATAACAATTGTAATGATACATGAAAATAATAATGATAACAAATAATAATAGTAATGATAAATATAGCATTTGTAACGCATTTACATTCCCGCTCTACAGCCGAACCTGTGCTAACAGTCACTTGTATCATAAGACAATCATCTGTTCAAAGGGTCACTTCCCATTTTCATTCCTTGTGCATTTTTAAAGAAAAAAATGTAACATTAGCGAACTGTGTGTTAGACGATGTATGTTGTCTTCGACAATGTCGACTTTATGTATGACATTTTATATTGTATTATTAGCCCTCAATCCTGATTAAAGAACACAAGAAGCTCTGTGCCATTTACAAATACAGTAGCAACATTAATATATTAACAATAGGGCCTACATTTTGTGCGAACGAAAACCTAATATTATAATAATAATAATTCACTAATATAAAATCAGAAATTACTTGAGCTGACATTTGAATGAGCAAGTGCATAGATTTACAATCTAGCATGCACGTAATCTGCGGGAAGCCGAATTTTTTTCGTTTTAAACGAATTTCGCTGTATATAAGTGGTTGAGATAGGACTAATACATGTAATACTTGAATTAGAAAGACTGGGGACCCGAAAACTAATCGCTGTGTACATCGACACAAGAACGTCAATTTAGTGCTGGGATAAAGCAAGTTTAGTGTGTATGCCGGCGGGCGTTTGTGTGTGTTTGTATGCGTATGCCGGCGTGTGTGTGT